TTCACAAATCAAATGCATTTTGCTTTGTACAGTACATAAAAGGGCTGTTCTCCTAAAACTCTGTAAGATGTAAACTTCCTGTGAAAGTGATTTTAATATGAGCTTTAACTGATATCCTCTGCCTCCCCACGATACAGGTGGCTCTCCACTTTCCCTCCTTATAACCGAGGTTTCACTTTTGAGCTTATAGTACGGTTTGATATAGCACTTTGTTAACATTCATGATTAATGATGAGTTATATCTCCACAATGTTGTATCCCTGATGAGGGATTCTCTGGGAAGATTTCCTTGAAGGGGCACCCGACAGTGATAAATGAGGGCAACATCCATGGGAACATTCACACTGTTCCCATAAGCACGTAGGACAGAGTGGACTGAAGTCTGAATCACCTTTCGTGGATCAATTATCATTTTCCTGGGATTGATTACCTCTTTCCTATCAGGCTCTCTGTGAACATGCTGTAATATGTTAACACCCGGCACAGTATTCCAGGACGAAATGTTGAACACGTCAGTAGATACCGTGTATGGGAAGATATGGTTCTCAAAAAGGAAAATGCCAGTCCCTGGGTTTTGCTCCTGAAGACTGCTCATCATTGTTTTCCAGTCTGGGTGCTTAAGGGGAAGAATTATTTCATCAGCATCATTAAGAACCACGAACTTGCTCCTCCGCATGTTACGGTATATACAGTCATTTAGAGCTGTGATTTGTCCATAGTAGCCAATGTGTGTTCCATCTTGCATGAAGTGCCATTTAGAAGAAACCTTGAGGTATGAGTTTATTGGCCAGGGAATTATCTCTACAGTTCCTTCCTCCATATAAAACTTCAAGACTTTCTCCATCAGGTGGCTGCAGTTGTTCTTATAGATCACCACTTTCTGTGCCCCAAGAATCTTGTACATTTCCATACTCTGTATAAACTGCAAGACATTGTTGTAATTTCCAAACATGGTAGAGATGCATACAGTGAAGTCAACAGAAAAGGACTCAGCCTTGCGGTTTTTAATTTCGAAGCTGGGCAGCTGGTCAATATTTGCATGTGGAGACTGATGAATGGATACATGTGTTGGATCGCAGTTTTCGGGTTCCAAACAAACTATATCTGCTGCACCGTAAGGGAAGCCAAATCTATCAGAGTGAACATCAATTTTTGCTCTTGATACATATTTCTTTCCATTGGGCTGACAGCAGAACCAGCAGTATAGCTGTTTTACATCTTTGTGGTGAACAATCCCAATCACACGAGTGACTTTGCTTTCTCTGCCATCAAAGTATGGGGATATAATAAAAGTTCTGTTACCTTTTAATGCTGTTATT